TCGATCGGCGATCACTGAAACGCAGCTAGCGACTGTATACTCGAAAATACAATGTTGCCACTTTTTCTCATTAAACCATGTTCGAATCGTGGAAATTTTGGAAGATCACAGGGTTGCTTTTAGCATTTAGATTCTAAATGCAAAAATGGAGTTGCATTTAGTTGCATTTAGGTGACGAATTTTGTATGGATAAATGTACATTTAGAGTAGCATTTAGAGCTAAATGCGCTAAATGTGCTTTTACGCGTAAGCAAAAACAGCCCATTAATTAACGAATTAACGGATCGCGAATCGCAATATTGCCAATAAATCGTGATAATTACTGACCGTGTGACGGGGCCCTTAAAGTATAGTTTTACCCCAAAATCGATTTATCGTTCGCGTTGGTCACTATTTCTAAAAAATACATCGATGTTTTTTTCCATCGAAATGCATCGAAATATACTATCGATTCATATCGATATATCGTATAAAAACATCGATATTTTCGATGCATCGAATGAAAATATCAAGGCGCATATTCATAGTCATATTTAGTACTCAACTAACCGCCCTATTCCCACACGGCTGACAAAACTCAGTGGCCGTACTACTGCGCCTAATACTATGCCGCAAATTTATTTTAAGCTGTCGTATGACAATTGTCAGTTTTATTGTTATGACCTACTGAGTAAGTGACAACGGCGAAACAATGTTTATATTATGTTTTAGGCGCAGTAATTGTGACAATAATCATATGATGAATTTTGTCAGTGTTGTGGGAATAGGGCGGTAAGTCGAAACTATTCTAAGTCAAAACTAAAGCTATTCATAGTCGCCTTAGTTTCGACTTTTCTGGCTAAGTACCAACTTAAAATTTAGTTTCGGCTGCAGCTGCAACTAAGTCGTAACTAGGAAGAAGTATTTTATCAAATTAAGGGAAAACAGACGAAATATGTAAAAATTAAGTTGGTAGAGGGTGATTTTGATAATATTGAATAATCTCCAATTAAAATTTACAAAAATCGATCCATTTTAATCGGAAGATGAAATTAAATGCGTATTACAATTCGAATAAAGCTATATCACAATTTTATAATTGGAATAATTTAGATAAATTCTCAAATAATAAGTCAGTTTAACGCTAGTTCTTTTAAAGTAAATTTGTGCATAATATTTAGATATCTACTATTTGTATGTTTCACAGCATGCTTTCGATAAACATCGACTTCACATCACTGCGGTTGTTCTGGCGTTTTCAAACAATTAACAAGAAAATGATACTTTATTCTTTTGCATAATCATGCAATGAAAATAAAAATTACATAAACGGATGATCAAACTTGACATTATTTAATAAAACTGTAGTTTTTCCAAAATATCGTAAAGAAAAATCGATACATTTTCACACTCGTTTTGCTATATCGTAAACTAAGTCGAAACTACCTAGTAGAAGTCTGAAATGCGACTATGAATAGAGGTAAATTTTAAGTTGGTACTTAGATTTAAGTTGCAACTTTGTTAGTTTCGACTTAGTTGCTGGACTATGAATACGCGCCAATAAAATTTTAATACGTACAGTTTACATTGCCCACAAAAGTCGATGCATCGAAAACAATACATCGATATTTATCGGAATGTCCAAAACATCGGTTTTATTCGATGCATCGAATAGGAAACATCGATGTTTCCGATGCATCGTTATTTTTTCTGCGTTCCTACTAAAATGTCCATTGAAAGAGGGCCTCGAGAAGATTTAAAGGGTCTGTTGTGGTTTTTATTGGAACACACTAAAGGTGAAGATGCTAAGGAATCAGCACGCCAGGAAATGGATGAAGAGAAAACAAAATTTCTGGAATCTGCTTTAAACTCTATGACTACGGATGTAATGAAAGATTTCCAAATAGCAATATCTATACTAGATGATGACTCGTCGGAAGTTTCTGATAAAATTAATGCTTTGAATACAATCAGAGATAATATAGACGACATAGATTTTGCAAATAGTTTTGTTAAGGCAGGAGGATCTATGTATTTGATAAAATTTTTAACTCATCAACAGTGGGAAATAAAAAGTTTGGCTGCATATATTATCGCTGAAATGTCACAAAATAATCCATTCTGTCAAAAATTATTTAGTGATTCTAAAACAATTCCCATATTAATTGAGCATTTGAGGGAATCTCCAGTTGTTGCGCATAGTAGTCTACATGCGTTATCATCTTTAATAAACAATTTTGAGCTAGGCCTTCAGGAGTTTTTGAAGGCAGATGGAATAAACGCTCTTTTATGCTGTTTATGCAAAAGTGACTCGAAACTAATGCTAAGGGCTTGTTTTTTAATTGGAAAATTAGGACAACGCGAAGATTTAAGAGATGGTATGGTCGAGAAATCGGCAATTGTCCGGTTGGTGAGATGTTTACCTATGACTTTTGATAAATATGATATAAATGTGGAAACAGCTCTCTATGCACTTTGTGAACTTTTAAAGAGTGATAAATGGAAAATTGACAATGGCCAGGCAGAAAAATTAAAGGTTTTAACTGGTGGCATTGTCAGGAATAAATTAGCTTATCCAGAAGATGAAGAAATCTATGGGTACGCGAGTGAAATTCTTCAGAGAATCAATGACCATCTGGCAAAAATTAAGCAATATTAAACTAGCGTAATATGAATTATGAACAATTGTTTTTAATATAAGATGTCATACAAAAAGTTTATACTGAATAAAATAATATACTGTGGATATTAGTTGCGTTCGACAAGTCAAAAATTTGTAAAAGTTCTTCCAAATTTTTACTGGATGGCGTTGGATAACGACAAAAAATTATCCAACACACAAACATTGAGAGAGCAAGTGTTCACTTTGTACTGGCTACATTTTAGTCAGCAAATAGTCTGTTCCAATAGCAGTCCAGTTTACAGGATTTAGTCAGAACTTGCAGGAAGTCGTTCCTATTGACATAAAACCTGTAAGTGGGAACACATTTGAGAGAGTAACTGAGCAACTGTCCCTAGTCAGAAGTTACAGGATTTAGTCCGGAGTTTTTTTTCCTGCAAGTTCATGAAAACTGTCAAACGATCAGCTGATTTACATGTGCAAACAAAAACAGAAAGCG